CGAATCTCCCCAGAGCTAGATAATTTTATTACCCTTCAACAACAACCCTACCACCTCCATACCCCAACAATAAACCAAATCTCCTCCACAATAAATTCATCCAACCCCCCTACCCCTACACCCTCTTCACATTATACTGAATCATTAGCACCATCATCCACATCAACTGAATCTCCACTCAACACTAATAGAGCTTACCGCACTTTTAAAAGAAAGTTCCCCAACCATCCTTTCCCAGCAAAACCAGGAACAGCCCGTGAATACATCAACCACCCCAAGCATACTAACACAAAAGAATTTTTAGCCATCACCTTACCCTCATTCCCACAATACACCTTAAACACCCCCCACGACACTAACGAAACACGCAACTTTGTAGATGAATACGTTTTAATGCCCACTCTCTCTTGGACCTCATATTATCATTTTACTAACCCTCTTTGCTTACCTTTATCTAACACTCACATCGATATAGAGCGAAATACGGACATGCTATATCGACTCACTACACCACTAACCGCTAGACAATTTACTTACGTTGGATATAAAAAATCACTAAAAACACACACTGCACCTAGAGCTAACGAATATACACTCGAATACTATGATCACAACATCATCAGAGCTAACCAAGATCAATTCTTAGACGACGATCGCTTCGCTAATCCACAAATTACCGAGAAATTTTTCATCAAGACACCATATATATTTACACTAAACATCTTCGACCGAAAGTTTGATCACATTATTTCAGAAGCACTAACAGACACACAAGCATACGAAAGTTTTAAAGAACGCTTCCAAATATTTTCACTAACCTTTCATTTCCTTGCACCACACGAAAGAGATTTACACTGCTCACACGATATTATGTTGCGCACTAAACAAACCCACACATATAGTTATTATCGCTTCATCCAAAATCACTTTGACCTACACACACCCTCTAGACAACCACACCATCGCTTTTAATTCATTAATTCCAAATACACTTCACCATTTTTCCTAAATTTCACATATTGCATTAAAGATACTAACCTTCATGGTATTCTTCGTAATTATGACCCCATAACCCAAATGTACATCTTCTGTCCCATCACCAAGACCTTCAACGCCGAAGAATCCCGACCCTTCCTTATCCCGCACGAGTTTGTACAACCCATAGAAATCCCAATTTTAGAATTCATCCACAACACTAAATTCAATCACAAATTATATAATCTAATCCAAAACACACCTTATGAGTTTGCAGTTGGCACTGAAGAACTAACCACTATTAAGGCACTTCAATTGCTTTGGCCACTGCTTCAGACTAAAAATATCATCCGCATCCTAGCTAAACTACTAACAACTTCAGAACTAATTCACGACATCTTCCCCCACGGTTTTTTCCCCGACGACTAACAGGTAAGTATGAATTAAATGAATATTACTAACTAATTAAAATATTAAAAAACTCACCATACTTTATCCATGTTTTCTTTAGATTTTTAGCCTTCATCCGACGATCACCTACAAAAACCACAAAAAACAAATAAAGATCGCAAATTTCATCAAACAGATTTCAACAATTCTATTAATCTCTTACACTTATAAATTTATAAATTTAATACCAATGCAGTAAATTCATTTCTAAAATTTTCCCCACAAGCAGTAAATCTAATTATGATGAAAATTTGTAACTTAAAATTCCCCCATAACTAGCAGTAAATTTCCAAATTCTATGCAGTAAATTAATAAAATGCAAATGCAGTACTAACCTTTTGATATTTTCATTCATTCGCACAGAAATTCTATCCACACTCGCACAGCTCGCCCACGAAGAATTGTTTAAAATAATGAATTTCAGTTTCAAGTTTTCACACTCAACAACTCTGACATATAATAACATGTTTCAAACTTTCCTTTAACCCGGTTGGAAAGGAATCATATACTAAACAAAACTAACCAACGCAGCTTACTAAATACCACAAATCATAGAATAACAGCATGATTAAGAAAAGGAAACCAACGGTACCCAAACCGGATTAACCCAGTTTAAAACTGGATAATTTATTCTTTTGAAGACTATTATAAAGTCTAAGAAAGAAATCATAAAACACAAAAAAGTCGAAAGACAAACCCATACCACGAACAATTTGCTTTTTGGAAAAAGGACATAACCAACAAGACATAAGAAAAACCACAACAAACCCAACATAAAACGTTGTCACATAACAGGACCCCTCACAAAAACCGCATGAAATCATACTCCCACTCCTGGCCTAACCCACCAGGAAGGACGTCCTGAGCATGCTCTATAGCCGGCCTAACCCACCGCGCTACATCCACGCTTTGTGACCACACCTCTATTTTTAATAAGAGCTACTCAAGTGTGAGTAACTCTTCAAAATAACCGAACTAAAACAAAAAGCTTTTGTGAAAACAACTAACTAAAATCATAATTAAAAAATATTAAACTAATAAATGTTTTATAAAATGTAAATTACATTATGCAATACATAGATCAGAATACAACACCAAGGACGAACATCTAAAGACAAAACGACCCCACTACACTCGAGAGAGAATGGCCAACCACAATCGATATGCCACTCACAATCACAACTCAAAGGATTTAGAGTACGACTTGACTTCGCAGAAAAGGACTTCATTGAACTAGACCAATGACCACCTCGATGTTCAAGTATACGTACAGATCCGAGTAACCAGGCATCCCCTCCACGCACAATCTCCACGCCATTCCCAAATTAGATCAGACACAAAAGAAGTTCTCCACGCAGAACAGAAAAACCTGACATAGCAAACCATTCTGAAATCAGATTTGAGTTTGTTGCAAAGACTTAGTCGTTGTCACTAGAAGACACAACGTCTTATGTCTCTAACTCCAGCTTCCTGGAACTTCTTTAACAAAGAGGAAACAGAAGAAATATGATGTTCGCCAAACACCAACGTCCATCATCCATCCTTCGAATTGCAGAAGAACTATTCTAAAAAACTCTGTAAAACCCGGATGGGTGGAACCTGATCTAGACTACATTTTATGATTGGATAATTTAGATATTTTACCAATGTAAAGTATTTAATATTAACCAATCATGATCCATCTAACTAACAACCCACTTATTTGTAAGTGCTGAAGTTACTTGTAATTTCAGCACCAGAGAGATTTGAATTTAACTTAGAAATTAGTTGGACTCTCCCGAGCACTTCAGCAGCCGCAATAAACCAGTATACCCTAGATCTATTGAGCCTAGCAGAGACTAGTTAAACAACCTGAGACTAGATAGTATAAGAGTAAGATTAGGATCGGTATTAGACTAAGAAGTTGCACGAATCTATCCGGCCGAAAATAAGATAGCGTGACGAGCAGACGGTGTACCCTATCCGAAATTACTCTATGAGTTAACCAACTCGGTCATAACTCAATAGCAAACTAAGCATGAAAATAAAAAACATAAGGGTTTTTCAGTTGAGATTCTGTTAGCTACTAGAACATGATGGCAGTTTAAGTTATCTGGATAAACCGAAGCAAAAAAGAAACACATTTTTCTGTACTTGGATTAAATAAAGTAAAAAAAAGTTATGCAGAAAAATACTTAAAATTTACCTGTGTCTTTATAACTCGACTACTAGACCCTAATTTCGTTATCTAAAAATTGAGCCCGTTTTTTTGTTATTATGTGAACAGCTCGTTAATATCCGCTGATTTAAAATTTAATGATTGATGGGGAAGCGGCCGTTAGTAAGTTAGATCCCATATTTGAATATGTTTTATTTTCGAGGTTACCTTTTCGCGTGTTCTTGCCAATTTTTAAGTGGAATGAAGTGATTTTTTATATAGGTTCTGATGTTTTTTCTTGAAAAAGTTTTAACTACAGAATGCGATCATTCATATTAAATCTTTTATGAATGCAAGCAGGGGCAGATCTAGGATTTTTTCGAGGGGGGGGGCGGATTTTTAAAAAAGTTTCGAAAATTTTCGAAAAAATTTGTCGATCTTTTTTTTAGGTCGACCGAGTTGATTTTTCGAGCTCTCCCTAGGCACTGTTTAAACCCTGTTTTGGCCAAGCTTTCTGCGCCGCAAGCAAAATTTTGAAAAAACAGGCCAAAAAGGCGTTTTTAGGCACTTTTTGGAAAATTTTGACCAAAAAAATCGCGTTTTTTCGGCGCGCACTCCCCCCTCAAAATTAGTATGTATTGGCGCCAAAGGCGCCTTTAGAAAATTTTTAGGGTCGGTCGGCCATAAATGAATATCTTAAAAAGTACCAAAGGGGGGACCCTTTGGGTCGACAGGGGGTCGAATCCCTGATAGTAAAACGTCCGTAAATCCCTGATAGTAAAGTAAATTTTGATTTTTTTTTCAATTTCGATTGAATAAAGCGAGCAAGCAGGCTTACAACAGCTAATTTATGCTTAATTTAAAACCCTCAAAACTTCAATTTAAGCTAGTAAAATAAGTTTTTGGTGCTTTTACTGGAATGGTCGGAACATTCTGCGCTACTTGCACAGTAACCGGATATCCTTGATTTTTTCTTTTTGTTTTGCACGCAAAATCAGGTACCATAATTAATCATACCTGCTTCCCATGCCTGCTTCGGTGTCTTTAACGTCCCAATTTGCGAAGATGGGTATATGTGAGGCTCTTAATCTTCAGGTTGGGGGTTTGATTCCGGGTCATGATAAAAGTTCGATTTTTAAATCTTTTTTTTTGCGTTTCTTTCTTTTGTTCATTTTTTGGAGCCATTTTGAAATTGTTTTGTTGATTGTATTGTTGATTATCTTCTCATCTGTGTCAAGATTTCAAAATTTTTTTATTGTCAATAAAAAAATTTTGTTCTGAATAATTTGATATTTTCAAGGTTTGCTAATGGGTGAAGTTTCTCTTACATCGGTCTTGTTGCTTTCATGCAGCTATAACTCGCTTTTTTTATAAAAATTTATTGATCGGAAGTAGATTTAAATTTCAATCTACATTCATAAGTTACGTTTTTTTTCAGCCTCAACTTCTATTCATTGATGAAATTGGGAAGATGGAGCTGCTAAGCAAGGATTTCATTGAGTTTATATCAGCTGAAGTGCTCGATAGAAAGAAAGCGACAGTTTTCACTATCGCCCAGAAGTGCAATCACAAACTGACAGATGCATTCAAATCAAATGAGGATGTTCAAATTGCTATTGTTACTAAAGACAACAGAGACTCCATTTTCCAAGATCAAATTATACCTTTTCTGAATCAGAATTTTGGTGGTTGAATAGATTTTAATTTATTTTTTCAATTTTTTGTCTCCTTAGTAAGTGAACAGTCAAAATGGAGCCATTTCAATTGTCAGAATATTCAATTTCTTTGTCGCAAGTAGCAGTATCGTTTTTTGTCAATTACTTAAGAACAGGTAAATGAAATTTCGTTGGAAAGTATCAATGAACGAAGCGAAGGCTTTTATCTTGGGTTTGTTCAGGAAAAATTAAATTTTGTTAATGCTCCAATTTGTTTTTTTTACATTCAGTCTTTTGATTACATTTTGATGTTTTATAGATTTCATTTGCTAATTGAAGTTAAACTACGCTCTTCAATGATAAAAAAGATAAGGTTTCTTTAAACTCAAAGCTTCACAAACCTTCTTTACAAGGATATTGCAATCGGGTAATAGACTTGTTTTCGCGTAAATAACTTTGTGCGCTGGACGTTGTTCAGCCTTAATTATGTCAGCTAATTTATTGTTTTTTTTCTCGTTTATTTTTTTGATATTATTGATTGAACCCGTACAAGAAATTTAGAAAGATCAAGCTAACCTCACTGCCCTTCCTAAATTAAATTAGATAATTTATACCTATTTTTTTCTATTTTTAAGTTTGTTTTCGCTTGCGATTAGCAAACGTTATCAAATCTGATTGTAGAATATATATTTTTTGGGTTGACAACTAGTTTGAACACTTGCGAAGCAAAGTGTAGTACGAACTTTCTTTTTTTCCCAACCTAACTCGCAAATAGAAGTGTTTCTTTTATTGGCACTTTTGAATCGGTAGGCTGCAGGGAGCAGGAGCTCAGATGAGCTTTGACATTTGATTAGTAAAAAGTTAACACAATTGTTACATTTTTAGTTCATCAAATGAACCGAAAAAAATTTATTTGTTTCAAACAGCAGTACAATGATAAAAAGCTCGATCTCAGAAACTTTTTTGGAATGCATAATTTATACATAATTTGGCTCTAGGCTGTTCAATTTATTACATGCAAAGTTGTGTCTTTTTGTGTTTGATGCTACTTTTGCTGCATCGAATTGGCAATTTAATAGCATATTTAGCTGCGTTGTTGGTGGCTAGTTTTTGGGGATTTTATGCAATCGTGGCTGAGTGGTTAATGCACTAAATTTTGACAGGTCGCACGTTGGAAACCGACACGTAGCGGATTTTTTGCTAATTCGAGGGCTATTTTTTTCATTTCACTTGATAGATGCTTTTTGGTCGTGTACTCGTAATTGTCGTGTTCTCGCAGCTTCGCCTGTGTAAAAAACCAGTTAATCACTTATGATCCTTCTAAGCAGCTGACATGCTCAATTTCATGAAAATTCAAATTTAATTACTGGGTGGGTACTAGTTTTTACAGGTTAGTTTCAGGGCGGAATTGAAACTTTAATAAAGTTTTTTTTTATATAAAATCAGTTTTTTTTCGTCGAAAATGGTGTCTGCTCAACGATTGTCGGCCTTGTTTCCGCTTCCAAAATTTTGTTGAATTTCAAATGTCTTGCTTGGAATGTTTACCTAGAATGCCGGTTTGATAAAAACAGATTTCATGAAAGTGTATGGGATTGGGTTTTATTATTATGATTTTATGTTTATGAGACGCTTTGGAAAGTACTAACACTTTTTCTTAGAAACTTTCTGTACCGATTTTCAAAAAAAGGGTTACCATAGAAAAACCGCGTGCTTTATTGTGTGCCTGCATACTCCTCTGGTCTCTTTTCGCTTTACCCCTTTGTCTACAGCCTTCGAAAAAATGGTGGAATATATAACCTATGTTTGATTTTTTCGTTTTCTCAATAAATTACCTACAAAGTCTAAGATTTTGGTTTCAATTTAAAAAATTGATGTGAAAAGCTTCACGCCATAAGCGGCTATGCCGTAAATGTTTTTCACATAAAATTATTCTCCTCGGAATAGTCAGTTTTTTTATTGTTTTGATTGTTTTTTGTATATTTTTTCAACTTTTCTCAAACATCTCCCAATCCTGAGATTGTGGGTTCTAGGGTCAGTGGAGATAACGAGTCTTGAGAAGGTTCCCTGCATTAGTGGTCTTTCTCACTTTTTTTACACAAGTTATTGTCCTCGGAAAAGGCAATTTTTTGAGCGTTTTTTCCTAATTTTTTTGAGTTTTACCGAAAAATACCCTCCCATACCTGAGATTTTGGGTTCAATAGAAAAAACGGGTTGTGAGAAGCTCCTCTGCATACGCTTCTACTCCCAAGTTTTTTGAGACCAAAATTTATGGCTCTTGGAAAAGTTGAAACTTTGATTTTTCGACCGGGTTTTGAAACGTTTGGACTTTTCTCGATAGCTATCCTGACAAATCTGATATCATAGGTTTGATCGAAACAACAGGTTGTTGGAAGCTGGTCTTTATAATTTGACGCGCAGTGATTTTAGAAAACCTTATGGCCTTCAAACAATTGAGTGTTTTTAAAGTTGAAAATTCCGTTTTTTGGAAGTTTTTTATACTCCACTCGAAATTTACCTGCTCATCGGTTTTTTGTAAGAGAAAGTTTGTCTTGGGGAAAATTCTAAAATCTGAAAAATTTTCACTCTTCTTACTTCTTTTAGAAGAGAATCAACTAAGGGTTTGGGCAAAATCCAATTTTTGAAATTACGCTTTTCATTCCCCATCGGTATAACGGTTTAAAAAATATCAAACATGTACCTCTAGCTTTAGCTGGGTCTTAGATTTCTTTCATCGAGACGTTCGAAAATTTTTCGTTTGTTTTTGACTTATGCTTTTTATGATTGTGTTGTGATGCAAGTGGTTCGAAGCTCCATTTCGCCTTTGTGTGAACAGTTGTGGTCGATTGTTGTAGAATGTTTTAGGTGTGTTACCGGTTTTTTATCATTCTTTTTTTGAGGTAGTTGTGTTCGTGAGTTTCTAGTCTGGATTTTTATTTTATTTTTTGTTTACCAAGTTTTTGGTGACCAGATGATTGTTTTTATTTTGCTTTCTAGCTCAAATTTTTCGAGTAGGAGCCGTTTAATTTGACGTGTCTGAGATTAAGTTTCTTTAAAAAATTGTTTTCTTTTTCTGCTATTTTACTTAGCTCAAATGTGTTAAAATAGTAAAGCAATATAATTTTTTGATCCTATTTATATTTTAGCTTTTTCTGGGCGCTTTTTGAACCATTCAAAAAATAGTTTTCAATTTTTGAATTTTTGGAATGCTTTTCAGGAAAATGTTTTATTTTCAAACTAAGCTTCGGTTCTGTTTTTTTCTTTTTGATTTTTTTTATACGCTAATTTGTTTTTGGATCTAATGTTTTGTTTTCAAACTAAGCTTTGGTACTAATTTTTCTTTTTGATTTTTTATATGCTAATTTGTTTGTTTTTTATACGCTACTTTGTTTTGAAAAAACGTTTCATCACTTGTCTTATGAGCAATTTAATGCAGTGCGGACAAGTTGAAGCTGAATTAAATTTAGTGCTGGTAGATGTTTACATTTATTGCCGATGATTAAAAAACTCGCGAAACAGAATTTTCAAATTTTTTATTTATCTTAATTTTAATTTTCTGCATCGCAGCGGGTGCGAAGCTCGGCTTCGCCTCTGTGTTTATTTGTTTTCATTGAGACTGTTCTGTAGTCAGAACTGTTCCGACATAAGTTTTTTTCTCCAATTTTCGATTTTTTGTAAGAAGTAATTATATAGGAAATAACGAAAATATTGAGGTGTAATTATTTTGCGCTCAAATTAAGTGGCATCAATTTCGTTGTAATCAAGTTGGTAGAAAGTTCAATTAATTTCAGCCCTACTTTCGCGACACTGAGACAAATCGACAATTAGATTTCTTTTGTGAAAAAAGGTTCAACATAGTGTTTGGCAGTTTTGTCTGAATCACGAAAACTAGGTACAAAATTTAACGATGGTTGTCAACCACTTGAAAATTTAGGTTCAGGTCTGCGTGTCATCATTTTTACCCTCCCGTTCAGCCAGGGTAATGTAACCGGATGCTAGATTTTTTTTCGAAACAAGTCTGCTAGTAAAGCAAATGAATTAAATGTTCGGAAAAGTTTCAGTCGGCTTAGTTGTTGCCTCATAATCGAGCATTCACGGCTTCTACCCAAGTGTTGCTTAGTTACCGCTGCTCAAGTTTTGTTTCATCTTTGCGTTCACTGAATCTTTTCAAACCATCTGTTGGCTATATTTTTCATAATTGAAATTCAGTTTGTTTTATTCCTGTAATTTGTAAAGTTACCAGTTATAATTTTGTATAATTTCCTCTTTTTTCCCGTTAGTTTTTCGATGTAAAGGTACTTTTGGCTTAAATGGCTGTAGCTTGTGTTAAATTGGTTTAGTTCCTCCATCATTCCTCGTATGAAGAAAGGATCAACATTTTCTTGTTTGATTGGTGGGAGGGGTCCGAAACTTTTGCTCAATTTTTTTGACATTTTTCTACGCAATGGGCGTGTACCCAAATGTTATTCAGTTACCGATTGATCACACAAACAAGCCTGTGAGTATTGTATAGAGTTTATTTAGGTAAACACTTTTGCAGCTTTGCGATGACAGATTAATAGAATGGGTTATCCACATTATAAATGGCAGTTGTTTTGCTTAAGAGTATTGAACGTAGTGAAGAATCTTCTACTGGTCTTGGTGATTTTTTTTTATAGATTATCAGTTAGTTAGAGCAGTCTTATTGGATGCTCAAAACCTGGCGTTCGGTTCCCGTAGCAGGCATTTATTTTTTTTCCATTTCACTATTTTTTTAAATCTCTTACCGTTTCAAAGCTAATTTTTGGCGTGTTTTGCTCGTGTTTGGGAAGTGCAGCTCCGCTATTTTGTAAAGTTTTCTTTAAAACTTCGTTAAGTTTAGCAATGAGAAATCTGGACTTGTTTTCCTCAAAATGGACTTCATTTAAAACAAACGTATGTTTTTGGTACTGGTGTGTTTTCATTAGCTTGCTATCAAAACCGATCAAATTCGCTCGATTTTGGAATTTTGGGGCCACTTTGGTCCTAATTAAAGGTTTATTGTGCTCGTTTTTATTCATTACGAGGCCAAACGGTCTTTTTGGGAATTGTAAGCAGATTCCGCAAGAAGGACGCGACCTTTGTTCTTCTCTCATTCTTTAATTTTGTTTGATCGTTCCGACAAAGTTTTAAAATGTTTAAAGACTCGTCTCTGGAATCCAAGAATGTACAGACACAAAATTGTGCGCCAATCCAGTGAACAGTTCGGCCTCGGTATGTTTTGCGGTAACTTAAACTTACATATTGTGCGCTCATTTTCAATGCATTTAAAGAAAGCGAACGCAAAAAATGGTTTTCTTCGAGTGAGATTATCCATAAATGCTTGAAAGATAGCAAGTGTTTTATAGCAAGTGTCTTATCATCGAGAACTGATTTTTTTTACAGTAAACATTTTTCTTTCAAATTCCGAAGAGCTTAGCGGTGTAATTTTTTCTATTTGTCAATCAATTGCTTTAAGGCCTAATGACCCAAAATTAGCTCCCGATCAATTCGTTCTTGTCGATGTTGCCTGGACCTGTTTTCAGGTAATGGAATATTCCGTTTCAGAAAAATCGTCGGTACATTGTTATCTGTTTATGTTTTATCAGCTTAGTTGTCACATTTTGGATTGTGCTTGGGCGATTAGTAATTTTTTTTGTAATTAAAGTTGTTTTTGATTTCTTTCCCCGAGTGTGTAAATTTAGGAGGGCGCAAATTCAGGAGGGCACGTGCAAAAGTTTTTAATTATGACAAAAGTTATGTTTTCGGCTCAACAGACACTTAACCAATACTTTTTGGCTTAGAAGCCGCGCAATAAATTTTTGTGGCCTATAAATTTATTTAATGCCGGCGTTTGTGTTTCTGGACATATTGTGCTCGGTTTCAATCCAGACAAAATTATGATATTTTTGTTGTGCTTTTTTGAACCTAGTAGCTTTACTTTTATTTTTTGTCTGCTAGTCTGTACTGCTCTGTTAGTCTGCCAGCTTTGCCAGTGTGTCTAAAATTTCTTTGCCTTATAAAAATGTTGGCATGAAAATGAATCTAATTAGCCGGGAGATAATTGCGTAGCAGCCGAACTCATTTTTTGAAGCTTCTATCAAAAAGTATAAAAGGGCTTCACTACCCAGATCATTTGAAAAAATAACAAGTAATCGGATAATTTTCCAATTAGTGAGTCCTTTTTGATATTACATCGTTTTCTACAATATGGACGAATTTATTTTATCTGAACTCTGCTTCAGATTTCTGGTGGGCTGTTTAGAGGATAGTACAGTATGTGCCACAGAATAGTTTATCCGGTTACCTGATATGTTTGCATATCTTCAACGCCCGACGAAATTTGACTCTTGTTAAACTTATAGCCGTAATCTTGTTCAGAAATTCATCTATTTGTTAATACCATTTGAGTAATACTATCTTCATTTCCTGTGCGTACGAACACAGAATTGTAAAAAGAGGGCTTATAAGTTCAGAATTTGCAATTTGGTTAATCTAATGCTAATGCTGGATAGCGCCTTTCTTTTCTCCTCTGGAAAACTTACTCAATTGGTGCGTGTACGCTTATAAACATTTCACAAGGTTGTTTTCAAATTAGCACGAATGGCAGTTGAAAAGAGGCGTAGATTCAAGTTTGCGATCGATCGTGGTGGAACTTTTACGGATGTTTACTGTCTGTGTCCGAGTAAAAGCCATAGCGATCTGGGTTCAAGCGAGCCCAGGTATTACCCACTGACTATGAAACTGTTATCCGAGGACCCTGCGAATTATAAAGACGCTCCTACTGAGGCTATTCGACGCATTCTGCAAAGTGAGACTGGAGTTGAGTTTCGGAAGGGTGAACGGATCGATGCCTCCTTTATTGAGTCGATCAGAATGGGAACTACTGTGGCTACCAATGCGTTATTAGAAAGGAAAGGAGAGCCGATGGCTTTGTTGATTACTAAAGGTAACTTTACAGCAGACAAAGTAATTAAAACGCAACGTTAATTTATAACGCTTGCGATAAGCAAGCGTTATCAAACTAGAATATAGACTTTTTCCAGTTAACAACTAGTTTAACTGAATCACTTGAATCATTTGATAGCTTGCTTTATAAACGAAGGTAATTTTTATGAAACTCTGTCCAGTAGTGTGGTGGTAAGTAGTGGGGCTATGTCGCGAAGGATCAAGTATTCGAATCCGAGACCATGCCAGTTTTTCTAATCCGATGAACGTAGTTCAGACTCTTATATAGGTCGCGATGATTTGTTTCTCGTTTTTTTTAGGAAAAAGTCTTAAAATTCTCTTAATAACTCTTATAAATACAGATGTGCATTCATATTAACTCATTTATGAATGCCCTTAGGTATATGTGCATTTAAATTCAACTGCTGAAAATGGGGTAAATTGCACTCTGCAAATACGAAAGTGTAAAAGTAACGAACTAGGTGATCGGCTTCCAGTTTCGAAACTGGAATTTAATTTTCAGATTTTGCAGCGGAATATAAATTTAACTTATTAATCCAGTTTTCTCAAAATGAGTTACTTCTATCGAAAAGTGTCAATAATAATTCGTCTTGAAATACAAAGAGGGTTGAGGCTATATATTTTTTTAGAAACTCGAAAGATGCAGCTCATTCAAACAAAAATTGTTTTTTTTTCTGTTTACTTGCGTTCGTTGACTCTTTTCCAACTGTCTGTTAGCTATGTTCAGGGATTTTTATGATTGCTTTATGTGAAATTCAGTTTATTTTTTGATAGAAACTAATTACTAGTAATAAATTATTTACACTTGCGAGAGCAAGTGTCTTGTAACCGGGAACTTAACTTTTTTCCCAGTAAAACAACTTTTCTCACAAATCTTACTTGCTTTCCTTTCTTGCTCTTTTATTGCACCTTCACAAATTCCAGAATCGTTCCCACTTGGCCTAGAGGTAGATTGGTTGCCTTTGCACCCTTAGGTGTAGGGTTTGAGTCCCGGCCGGACCTCGTTTTTCAGTATGTATGAAATGGACATTGTTTTTCTGGTAAAAATTGAATTTTCGGACTTTCGTTTGTTGCTAAAGTTGTGTCGGCTTAATTGCCGCATCACGGATTTTTCTTGTGCTTTAAGCAGTTTTTAAGAGTTATGAACACAGTGAAGAGTCTTATATAGGTCTTGGTTGTTTTTTGTATTTGTTTTTTTCGAAAGAAATCTTAAAATTCCTTCAAGTTTTTTTTTTGATTTTTCGCGGTTTGACTTGTGATTTCCTTGATGTCCAGTGCATTTCCATTGTTAAAAGGAAAGAAATCTCCACTATCAAACACATCGAACAGCAAAAGTGTAAAAGTCACGAAAAACGTGATCGACTTTTAGTTTTGAAAATGGACATTTTTATCAGATTTCCCTGCGAAACAAAAGTTTTACCTATTGATCCAGTTTTCTCAAATTTGGTTAATTTTAGCACAAAAAGCGTCCATATTAATTTATTCTTCAATTTCATAGAGCTTTAAGGCCATCTTTTTTTCTTCGAAATTCAAAAGTTGAAGGTTTTTGAAAAAACAGTGTTTTTTTCCCAGTTTCCTTGCGTTCCTTACACTTTTCCACCTGTCAGTTGGATTTGCTGATTATAGTGGCAAGTGTTGTTCACTGTGTTTTTAATAGGGGGAGGCAGCTAATAAAACATTGTGTTTTTAGGGGACTAGAACTTTTTTACAAAATCAATTTTTTTTCGGCTCAACTGGTGTCTGCTCAAAAGTTGTCGGTTTTGTTTCCGCTTCGTCAGTTTTGTTCGTTGCTAATTTAAAATTCAAATGTTTTGCTTGGCATGTTTGCCCAGATCGAAACTTTATTGAGACATACGAAAGTTTTAGTAGACCTAGTTTTTTGAAGTTTTCTCGTTTTTGTACTTGTTTTGTTTTGTATGTTTGTGTTGTATCGCTCTTTGTTTGAAAATTACAGCGTCTGATTTTTGTTCTCTCTAAAAATGCGTTCCAACCTTCATGTCTAAGTTGCATAACAAAGATAGACCGTTGCTGCTCAAGTATCTTAAAAGAGTTCAACATCAGTCAGTGATGCCCATTCAAACTATTTGAATTGATATGAATCTTTTTTTAAACTTCATTCATCTCAGTGAAAAAGTTAGAGACGAAAAACTGAGAATGAATTTTTTATTCTATTGCTTGTGACATTTTCAGCACATTTTAAAGCGCCCTTTAGCATAGTTAAGCGCCATAGCATATATTTGCTGTTTGCATGCTTAAGCTCAATATCGGCCTGTTTTAACTTTAATTTACATATCGGTTGATTCTACATCAGGTTTGCATACATGGTCGTGTACTGTAGCTGAGACCATCAACATATAAATGTGGCACCTTTCGTCTCTCGCCAATTTCGCTTGTCTGAAATCAATAACTATTTCGACCCTCGCACTGTTTGCCTCACAAAGTCCCGTAATGAGTCTGGGGTGAAATACCTTAGGGTCGTAATTTGCCACTGAAGTTTGTGAGAAATGAAACATGTATAAACCTCAACATATAGAACATGTAGCCACCAATTTGCTTGCTCTGTTTTTTAGGCTTCAATGATCTGCTTCACATTGGCAATCAATGTCGGCCGAACCTGTTTGACCTCTCGATCTCCATGCCGGACAAACTGTACGAGAGTGTGGTAGAAGTGGAAGAGCGCCTCTATCTGGACCAAGACGCCTGCCAGCTCAACTTAGAACAGTATCCACAGGTTGTCGGCACCAATGGCCAGACATTGCGAGTGGCCAAGAAGCTGAATTTAGAGCTACTTCGACAAGAGTTGGTTGCAATTTTGAGACAAGGAATCAAGGGAGATATATTGAAGTTATTCTATCTGAAATTAAAGTCTGAGTTGGATTTGAAAGGGAAAAGTATCATATAAAATAGCCATTCAATTGATGTTACCGATCATTAATTTTTGATGTTCAAATTCATAGTGAAAAATCTAAAAAATGAAAAAGTTAAGCTCATTTATTCAGAAACGTGAGATGTTTATTTAGCTGGCTCTTCGCGGCTTAGCGCTGTCGGTTTCTGTGTTTTTTGCTTTTTTGTTTTTGCTGACCTTGGGGATGTTGCCCTTACTTCCAAATGGTTGTGTGGCAAATGGTTGTGTTGAACCATCAACATCATTTTTGAAAAACAAGCGGTCTAAACACTTCACATAAGATCTCATAATTAGAATTATGAACTGAAAATATTCCAGTTGAGATGAACAGTTTGCTCACTATAGAACTGAATCAAGTAGGTTTCAATATATCTCCATGTTCTATTTTGGTCTTGTGACAGTGTATAGCTGTGGTGTTGATGCACTCCTACATCTACCCTGAGCATGAACTGCAAGTGGAGAAGATGGCCTCTCAGATGGGATTTACCCAAGTGTCACTCTCTTCCCAAGTGATGCCCATGGTCAAAATAGTACCAAGGGGGTACACAGTTTGTGTGGATGCATACCTCACACCCGGTTAGCAGTTGTTCCAAACACTAACAAATACACGTCATACAGAGACAACATAATTTCGTAGATCTATTTTATTCGACGTGTTTTCAAAAGCAGCAGAATTGGCAGATTCCGCAAAAATGGCAGAATCCAGAAAAATTTGTAGAATCCACAAAAAAGTTATTAATTATGTGTTTGCATCCAAGAATGCAATGAAATAAATGCGAATTAAGAAACTAACTCAATAATTAGCATTAGAAATTTCGACAACTAAATAAATATCAATTAGGAAACTATTTCAATTTCATACAACCACTGGTATTAGGGTTACCAAATACTTTTTTACATTTGATGTTAAGTTGGACTCCAAGGTGAATATTTACCAGAGTCCACAGCCTACAAGGCTGCTAACAACAGCACAAAAACAAAAGCAAGGTTGCGAGGCTCGGCTTTGCATCTCTGTCGGAAAGTTTTTTTTTGTGCTGTTGTTAGCAGCTCTGTAAACTGTTGTATTTGTCCCTGGTAATATTTTACCTTCGAGTCTAATTCAACATCAAATAAAAAAGAGTCATTGGTTACCCTAATACCAGTAATTGTATGAAACTCGCAATTGAGTTTGTTTCCTAATTGATAATTATTTTATTGAACTCTTAGTTCTTAAATTAAAGTGTCTTTTATTGGTCTACTAAACTTTTTCTCGTGATTAATTTTGTCTAAATTTGAAAATTTTAATTAAGTTCCTCGACACAACGTTGCTTCTATAAATGGAGCTATCGGAGGTAATTCCTGTTTGATTTATTAAACAGGTATTATGAAAACGTTTTTTTTTTCCAGATGAGATCTGGTTTTTTTTTTTTTTTTTGAGACGCTTTTTCGAAAAATTCGCTTTCCCAAAAAACTACCCGTCAGATTCTCATAAAAGTGGTACCAATGGATTCAGTAGCGTTTCACCTACCTGCCTGCATGAAATTTAGGGCAATTTTTACCCTACCCCACCCCCTACGGTCTTAGAAAAGCTTCACAACTCGGTACTTTTTTCACTTTTTGCCCATTTTTTCGGAAGTTTTCGATTTCCTCAAAAACTACCCGTCCAGATTTGGGATTAAGGGTTTAATCGATAGACCAGGTTGTAGGAAACTCCCATGCACAAGCGGCTGGTCCCTAATTTGCTTAGGGGAAGAGCTATAGACTTAGGAAAAGTCACTTTTTGATTTTTTTGCCCATTTTTTCGGAAATTATCGATTTCCTCAAAAACTACCCATCCAGAATTGGAATTAAGGGTTTAATCGATAGACCAGGTTGTAGGAATCTCCCCCGCACAAGCGGCTGGTCCTTAACTTGCCTAGGGGAAGAGCTATAGACTTAGGAAAAGTCACTATTTTGACTTTTTTGGCCTTTTTTTCAAATCTTTCCGATTTCCTCAAAAACTACCCATCCAGATTTGTGATTAAGGGTTTAACCGATAGACCAGGTTGTAGGAAACCCCCCCCCTACACAAGCGGCTCGTCCCTAATTGGTCTAGGGAAGAGCTATACACTTAGGAAAAGTCAATTTTTCGGTTTTTAGGCCATTTTTTCAAACTTTTTCGATTTCTTCAAAAACTACCCTTTCAGATTTGGGATTAAGGGTTTAATCGATAGACCAGGTTGTAGGAAACTCCCCTGCCCAAGCGGATGGTCCTTAATTTGTCTCGGGGAAGAGCTGTACACTTAGGAAAAGTTTTTTTAAAAGTTTTTTTGGCATTGGAACAAAGATTCAATATACTTATTGTGTGTATTTTTTAGACAATGGAATCCGCTATGCTTACGTTTTCTCGCTTTTGCTTGGTGCTATTGGCTTTGTGTTGAGTTTTTTTGTATGGTTCGAAGAAGTCCAACGAGAAGTTGCACGAGTTACGCTAGTTCTCTTTAATCAGGTCGGTTTGTTCCAGAACGTTTTTGTGATGTCAGTTATAGTCAACCTATTATAGTCATATTTGCAATGCTTGGACAAAATTTAATTAATTCGGAAATTAAAGAGTCGTTAGAAAATTGAAAAATACTTTATTTCATTAATGTTAGCTGGTTTCAATATTAAAATAATCAAACAGGTCTCTCCAGCTTTCAGTTTCAGCTGGGCCCCAAGTCTAAACGGTCGATGGGTGTTAATGGGTATTGCAATCGCGAACTAGACTTTTTCCCCGTAAACAACTTTGTCCACAGATTTCAGCTTGCATGCAGTACGCGACATGCATGCAGTATGTGCGTATATCTGCGCTTTTTGGTCTATTACTATCACTGTGCATCTTTATTAGTGTTTTTCCAATAAATTCGCAGTTCAAATTTTTTAAATTATATTTCTGTGGTATTTTTTGAACTTCGTCGCTTTCGGCTTACTTTTTGTCGGCTTAGTTTCTGCTTTGTTTTTACCGCCCAGCTAGATTGCTTATTTGATGTTTTTTTCCCATTATAGTTTTGCTTTTAGTGTTTGATTCACCTCTGCTGTTTTTTTTAACCTTGACATCGGATATATATATATACTTTTTTTCGATTAAATTTTTTTTCTGCCCTAATGATTTCAGCCTATATTTATTGTATCGGCTTAGTGACCTAGGTTTGAGACGTTTCAAAAGGAACATATTTTTTATGTGTACGTGTGCGTGTGAAAGTGTACGTGTGCGTGTCTATGTTTTGAGGGCGATGGGGGCTTAATAACCTCTGATTAGTCCTAAATTTTTTTGAATTTGTTTCTTTTTTTTCTTTTTCTTTTTTTGGCTTCAATAGGTTTCGGGCTATATGATATCGGCTTAGTTGTCTCATATTATTTTTGACAAGCAAATATAGTTTTTTGAGTGTTTTGAGGGCGAGGGGGAGTTAGTTTAAATCTTGTTGATTTTTTTTCGGCTCAAAAGGATCTGCCAAGGTATTTGTTACCGCTTGGTAAATTGTTCCTATGCTAGTTTCACATTCTAGTGTCTTGGTATGTTTTTATTTCAAAACTAGATTTATTTATTATGATAGATCAAGTTTTTTTTTGACATTTTCGTTTTTTATTTTATTTTGTGGTGCGAAGCTCAGCTTCGCCTCGGTGTTCTTTGTTTGACTTTACTAAGTTCAAGCTTCCGCTCTGTAAGTTTTTGTTCAACGCTAATTTAAAGCTGGTATTTCGCTTTCTTACTTTTTTCTTCAAATGAACCTGAATAATTTTTTGTTAAATCGATTTTTTTCAGTTTCCGACTGAGTGACTTTTGTAAAGTTTCGAATGCTATTTATAGTGTATCGCATTTTTTGCGAAGCACCGCATTGACTCTGTGTTACACTAGTGAGCAGCAATTATTTTTATAACCGGAAACTAATCTAGAAATTTCCTCCTGTAAACATTTAGTTTGAATTGTTTACCTTTGTATGATAATTGCAGAACACTTCTGGAAATCTTTTGATACCTCCCTCTTATTTAGGACAAATGGTCCGTTCAAATGAATTTTGATGCAAAATTTGACATCTAAGTGAGATGGTGTGAGTTTTTTTTCAAGCAATCAAGAGGTACCTGGACAACTTCGAGTGTGGCTTTTTGGATCTCTACAAACACAGTAGGGTGCAATTCATGCAGAGTGACGGGGGTCTGTCCCCCGTGGACCAGTTCAGTGGAAGTAGGGCCATCCTCTCCGGTCCAGCTGGGGGAGTTGTCGGATACGCTTACTCGCTCTACTCGAAAACACCGTCATCCTCACAACAAGGTAGTATATTGTCAAGTTGATCAAATAAATCAAGACTCGTTACAGCAGCGAAAGCCGTTTTTATCATGCTTTTATTTTATATATTTATTTCAAATTTTTGGATGCAACTTTTTGCTCATGGGGGTTTCAAACAATGTTGTTCAGAGTTTATTACACAAATAGAGCGCAATCGACAGTTTTTTCTGACGTTTTCGATTCTGCCAAAACTATTTTTTGTGCTGATTTCTTTCCTTGGATGAAAAAAATCAACAATTAAAACAATTAGGAATTTTACATAATTACTCAGTAGTTGAAGGCAGTCTGTTTCGCTATAATTATTTGTTGCCAGATTTTGTTCTTGTATGCGTGCCATAGAATTGGGCGAACGACTTTATCTAATCTTCGTCTTGGCTCAAGGTGGCGGATACCGAGTCGACAAACTCTTTCGTTGTTGCCTGAGGTCTATTTTATCCCCCCACCATTCAATCTTGGGCCTTTTTTCCGTGTGGAGATAGATGTCACCCATATTGCCGCAGCCGGTCCCACCTCGAGGAGGCTGATGACACTTGGGGCCCATTTAACCGCTCATTAGGTCTTCGGCTGCGAGCCACTTTAATAAGCACTAAAAACTAGT